AGATAATTTCATTATCTTGTAACCATTTAATTGCTTCTGATTCTGATTCTAAGATTCCTTGTATTTCTCGCCTTGTCGGGATATCTCCGCGTGTCATGCTTTTTTGTTTTTCTGATTTTTCCTTATATAAGTAGACATTTTCCTACTGGGTGTTGGTCTTTAATTCAAATGAAATATTTTGAAACACTAAAGTTCCAAATCATTGTTCTTATACTTTTTCCAATACTTGTCTGCGCCTTTCAATTATATACTATTATTTCCCTTATCTTTCTATTTTTGGACTCATGTCTGACCCTATTGATCAACTTTTTGATATTCATATTGTTCGTAATCAATCTTATGATTTCTTGATTACTATGTTTCTTCATAGCATTTTTCTTAATATTCACGAGTTATATTTGGTTTTTTTAGTACTCTTTCTTCTGATAAGGTTCGTCCTTATCCTTCTGATTTCTTTCTTTACTTTTCTTGTGGTGATTATGATCCTCTCTCTTTTCTTTGTTTTGGTCGTTCTCGGGATACTTATACTTTTCTTGAGAATCGTTCTTCCTCTCTTGAAGATTTTATCTTCTTTCTCTATGAAAGAGGTAATAAGAAGGCTTTTTCTTTAGTTTATAAGCACTTCCATGTACGTTACAGTACTCTTAATGGTGGTACTTCCTTTCGATGGGATAAAGACTTTTTTGACCCTGACTATAAGTTTAGTTGAACTATTAATCGGACTATCCGTGTTGCTTCTGTCCTTAATTGGGATGGTTATGGAAAGGATAATATTACTCTTGATGACCTTAATTCTGGTCTCAATAAGCTTTCTTTTGGTGATACTTCTTCAGGTAGGGGTTCTTCATATTTGGTTTTGGCATCTTTTTCTCCCTGAAAAAGATGCAAGATCAAACATAGTAATCAAGTATTGGTTTTCACGCACTGCCAGACCGGAGTAGTTAGATTTTTCTAGCTAACGCTGGTTGGTAGTGTGTGGCGATCGAATATTTCTAACCCTACTATTTTTTGTTGTTTTTATTTAGATAGTTGTAATTCTGAAGATAATCCTTTCGAGCCTTTTAATCTGGAGTATGATTCTTTTGATGTTTATCGCTCTCAAGAGGAAAGAGAAGATCGTATTAATACTCAATTTTATTCTGATAGTTCTTCTGATGATTATGGTGTTGATGATGTTGATTGTTGTTATAGTGATT